TAGGGACAAATTCTTAGTGACACACCAGGGCGCCAACCAATTCCAGAGCGTGTAGAATGTTCTCGAGAAGTGCCACCACCATTCGGCTTTTATATATAAGGGAGATACCTGTATCTGCTTTTTTTCTGCTCAACACTCCAGGGAAATGCTGTTTTAGTTAGTCTGAACTTTCGTTGGTTGGCTTGAATGGCAAACGAACAGGCCTTCTCATTTCCACCATTTAGAATTCTTCTTTTTTTTTTTAAAAAAAATAAGAATGCAAAGTAACCCCCATTTGTGGATGGTACCTTACCCATAAATATACCCCCGCCACCTTTCTGCTTTTATTTCTCTGCCAATTACCTTCTCTTCCAACCATTTAAAATGACTGTACCCCCTCCTGCCCCTCATACCTAAAACACCCAAATGATGCCATCCCTCCCTCCCTTCAAGTTTCCTATGAATCATAACCAGGGGTCATTTCGTAGAAAAAGAGCTAGGGGAACTCATTAGCATATGCCACACCCCCTGACATCAGGGGCCCGGCGGTGGACCTGCAAGGCCAGTGGGAGTGCGAGGAAGCCCCGCCAAGGCAGGCAGGGGTGGGGAGAGGCGGCCCTCCCTCTTCTCCTGCCTCCTCCGAACTGAATGAGGGCTGGAAGCGGGGCGGCAGGAAGCAGGGGGAATGGTTGGTTTGGAGGATGGAGTCTATGGCTTTGGAGTCTATGGAGTCTATGGAGTCCCCCCTGCACCTCACCCGGGGGAACTGTGTTCCCCTGCGTTCCCCCCCGAAATGACCTCTGATCATAACCTTCGCAAAATCTTCCCAAGCTTACCCAATGCGAGCACTCGTGTCGGCAGCAGGGGCTCTCTTTTTCCTTTGCCTTTTCCTCCCCTGTCCCAGGATGTAAATTTTTCAAGCTGTGGCCTTTTCTTTTTCCAGCGATGAAACTTTTCTGCATTTGCACGGATTTCTTTTCTGCAATATCATGGTAACATCAACTGCATTATGGACCTGCCCTCTCCTGGTAAGAAGCATTCACAGCCTACGGTAACAGCTGCATTCATGTTAGGAAACCTTTTTAAATATGAGACGGTCATTTATTAACAGAGAACGGTTCCTTTTGACTCTCCTCTTACTGATTCTACGTAACAGACCTGGCTGGTTCACTGGAGCTCTCAGACTTGCTCACTGAAGAAGCCGCCCTCTAGTCTGCATAGCTGAAGTACTTCCAATGTCCATGTTTGACTTCAACTTGAGATGCCCCTTAAATTCACCTACCTTGTACAGCTTGGGGCTGCTCGCCGTTTGAATCAACCCGGTTTCTCCTTATGTCCACTCCCTTGCCCACTTGGGTTAGCTGGTGACGCCTTGCTTTGCTGCCCGGGTTGACCCAGTGGTCACAGGAATGACGAAAACCACACAAAACACGCCACCTTTTGGAGGCTGGTGCTGCTTTGCAGGTTGGCACGCTTTAAGTGCCTCACTGCTCAAGGTGTGCATTTGAAAATGGATGTCAAGTGTTGGTTTCACGAGGACTCTGCCCTCAGGAGGGAATTCAGCCTGGCCCTTTCAGTTCCCGCAAGACTGGCTGGTCATCCATTTTGTTTAGAAAGGTCCCCAGAGCCTCTTCTTTCAGTAGAAGTCTCCCCCCCCACAGAGGAAAACACCTGCCTTAGTGAAGGAGATATGTAAACTGTAGCCCACAGTTAACCCGGGATCTCCTCAGGTAATAAAACATAAGAACATAATAAGAACATAAGAGAGACGCCAATGTTGGATCAGGCCAAAGGCCCATCCAGTCCAACACTCTGTCACACAGTGGCCAAAAATACCAGGTGCCCTCAGGAGGTCCACCAGTGGGGCCAGGACATTAGAAGCCCTCCCGCTGTTGACCCCCCCCCCCCCAAGCACCAAGAAGACAGAGCATCATTTGCCCCAGAGCCCCTATCTATACCTTGTGGCTCATAGCCACGGATGGACCTCTGCTCCCTATGCTTATTTAATTCCCTTTTGAAGCCGTCCATGCTTGTAGCCGCCGCCACCTCCTTTGGCAGTGAATTCCATGTGTTAATTACTCTCTGGGTGAAGAGGGACTTCCTTTTATCCGTTCTAACCCGACCGCTCAGCAATTTCATGGAGTGCCCACGAGTTCTTGTATTGTGAGAAAGGGAGAAAAGTACCTCTTTCTCGACCTGCTCTATCCCATGCATAATCTTATAAACCTCGATCATGTCACCCCTCAGTCGTCTTTTCTCCAAGCTAAAGAGCCCTAAGCGCCTTAACCTTTCCTCAAACTGAAACTGAACCATATATGTCTGTTCTTCTAGCACCCCTGGGCCCTTTTCAGATATTTTTTTAAAGGGAAGATATTCCAGTAATGTCTAATAAGCTCTGGTTAGACACTGAGGTTACTCAAATGCCATTTGGTAGCATGCACATGGGGCTTATGGGGGCAGGTTACAGCTTGCCTTAGCATTTCTGTTTTGTTTTACTGTTCAGTGTGAACAGCATGAGATGCATAATTTATAAAGAACACTGTTTTATAGCATGCCCTGAAACTGCTAGGCAATTTTTTTTAAATTTTTTTTTTAAAACCCACTAGGACTAGCGTACGGTAGTCACATGCTTACAATCACAGTTGCTAAGGAATTGTGAGGCTCTGCCAGGCAGACACCAGGCTCAATCCAGCACAAAAATTCTGCTAGTGCTTGAGCTCTTGGGCAAGTAGAAATGCATGAGACAGTGAGAGCAGAGGTTCATCAGTGGCTATGAGCCACAAGGTACAGGTAGGAACTCTTGGTCTGGGGCAAGTGATGCTCTGTATTCCTGGTGCTTGGGGGGTGTGCAGCAAGAGTGGGAGGGCTTCTAGTATCCTGGCCCCACTGCTGGACCTCCTGATGGCACCTGGTCTAAGGACAAAAAAGGGGGGGAGGGGAAAAAATGAACCTAAACCTAGAATTCAGAACCTAAAAAGGTTAGTCAAGAATAGAAGAGGGCCAACTCTAAAAATCTAATTATGGAACTGATTATAGATTTTTAGAGTTGGCCCTCTTCTATTCTTGACTAACCTTTTTAGGTTCTGAATACCTGGTATCTTCGGCCACTGTGTAACAGAGAGTGTTGGACTGGATGGGCCAGTGGCCTGATCCAACATTGGCTTCTCTTATGTTCTTATGACTTGAATGCAGGAGATCACAGTAGCCACTTGTGCCAAGCAGTGTTCCCCTTAAGCTGAGTGTGAGCTAGCTCACAGGTTTTTTTTAGCTTCCGGCTCACACATTTTTGTCTTAGCTCAGGAAGGAGGGCTCCGGAGCAAACTAATTTATGCAGCGGCCAAATTGCTCGCTCTCAACTTTAACGCCAGTAGCTCTCAAAGTAGAATTTTTGCTCACAAGACTCCACAGCTTAGAGAGAGCATTGGCACCAAGTCAAACTTACTGCATCCCCACTCCTGTTTCTGCTTGTGTGAGACTTTGTGCACCCAAAGTCTGGCATCTGTATACCACGTAGTTAAATTACTTCCAATGTCCATGTTTGACTTCAACTTGAGATGTCCCTTAAATTCACCTGCCGTGTACAGCTTGGGGCTGCTCTCGCCCTTTGAATCAATCCGGTTCCTCCTTATGTCCACTTCCTTGCCCAGCTGGGTTAGCTGGTGACGCCTTGCTTTGCTGCCCAGGCTGACTCGGTGTTGATCTGCTTTAGAGCAGTCCTTCCCAGCAGTGGTACTCCACTGAGAAATGGAAGAGCTGGCAAGCTTCTCACTCTCGCTTCTTACCATCATGACAAGGAGTTTTTATTTAGAAAGCCGTCTGCAACCACTGCTGCTGTTTGAACCTGCAATATAGATCTCATTTGCAGAGAGCCACTGTAACGATTCCTTGTTTCTGTGTGTGTGTGTCTCTTTAAAAGTTTGGTTGCATGGCTGTGGTAAGTAGACTAGAGTGGTTGAGAGAGGCAAGTGTGGTATGATTGGTGGTTGACAGAGAGGGGGAGGGGTTTTGGAAGTGAAAATGAGTGGATGAGTATGGATGTCAGTCAGGTTTTACTGTTACAGGTTTGACAGTTGATAAGTTCAGTTAGTTCTGTGTGTGAAAGGAGAGACAAGAAGTTCTGTGTTGAAGCAGTTAAAAGCTGAAAGCTGAGTGTCTAGGAAACAGTAAAGTTTAAATGAACAAGAGTTAAAGGAAAGTCTGAGTGACAGGCTAGAGTGAAACAGTAAACATATATGGCATTGAGATAAACAAGTGTTACAAAGTTACATGCAAAGATCCCTGACAGAGAGGGAGAAGATTGTGTGGGATACCAAAGCAATTGTTCAGTATTTACACATTACTAGTTACATTGTACTACCCTCTTATTTATGCTTTATTTCAATAAATCCTCTTTCATTCAAGTATACCAGAAAGCCATCTGCAACCACTGCTGCTGTTTGAACCTGCACTATAGATCTCATTTGCAGAGAGCCACATTCACTGTTACCATCAACCAAGGAACCACTTTTACCCATTCCTCCGGCCGTGGTTGTTTCAAGGAGGGGGCCACCTGTAGACTATGAGTGCCACCAGGCGAGGGCCTGCCCACTTACTTGAAACGTGGGGCAGGTGCCATATTAGGGAACAGTGCTCTGAACAGCCAGATGTTGTCCGTAAGTCACTGAGTATCACAGTTTAAGAGTTAGGCTTGATGGTTGCTGGGTTGTTTGCATTTCTTCTTTTTAAATAATTTATAGTATTCACGATTTGAGCCTTGATCTGCACACCACCACCAGTGCTTTACGGAACACAGACTTTCCCAGAGAATAATTCTACACCTTATTTATAGTATTTATGCTTTGAGTTTTGATCAGCATACCACCAATTAAGAAGGGAGGCATCTTCCTGGTCAGTGTGAAGGGCGAGAGAAACTCTGAAGGTGTTATTACATTTTGGAAAGGACAGGCTGCAGCCGCTAGATTGTGAAATATGCAGATTTAATGCACAAACCCATTTTACTTGGAAAAAAAATATTTGCAAGGCATATAAAAAAGTCAAAATACAAGCAAAGCTACATTTTAGGTTTCAACAAGGCAAGGTGTCTATTTTCATATCAGTTTCTATGTACAAGTAAAATTCCCCAAGTGGAACAACATGAAATGTGAAACACATTATAGCAATACGCCACCTATAATACACATTCTCACAGAGAAGGAAATCTCTGAATCTGTACATGCAAAGTGACAAATCAAGTCATGCTTGCATTAAACAATCAAAGTGGGCTAGGAGACTAAATCAAGACGGACATGATTTGGTCAAGATTGTGTGCTTTCTGCTTGAGGTTATAGAGGCACACATTAATAATTTTAGGCCCTCGACAGAAAACGGTTTGAGGAAGGCGAAAGCAGTCCGAGGGGCGCGTCACTTCCCCTGGCGTGCAAATGTTTTCCGCCGTAATGTTATTTCAGGTCAAGGAGGTTTCCTTTGATGCAAAAAACCCCTATAAAACTGGCTTCCCACAGGCGAGATCGGGATGAGTATGTATTCCAAGCAGCAGCCCCTCCGCCAACCCGCCTAGATCTCTCTGAGGAAACCAGCGCGTATTTCAACATAGATGGTGAACGAGCAGGCAAGATGGACGCGTTTAAAAAACAGGAAGTCAAGGTTTGACAGCACGCTTGGTGCAAGTTTCATTTGGAGAGCGTTTGGCAGGGTCACCACGAGACCAATTCATCTCAGGAGCCCGGAATTCATAGGGCTCGATCCGGCAATTGCAGAGTGGACGGCGGCGATGGTTGTGGATCTTCCCTACTTCCTCTCCTCCCTCCGCTGCCACGTGGGTTGGGAGGCTGCAGTGGGGAGGAGGAAGGGGGGGTGACATCACCCTTCTTGACGGAAGAGGGGAAAAAATGGGAGTGACTTTCTGCAGATTACCTGCCCAAGTAGCTATTACACGCTGCAGGTCCTGTGACCCAAGGAATAAACTTTACCTTGGTTGGAAATGGATGCCGGGGGGGGGGGGCGATCCTTGCACTGGATCCAACCCTGGAAGACCATTGACAAGGCAGTTCTTATTTGCATAGTTGAGCAATGTTTTTCCCCCTGGTTCAAATCGTGTTCATAGGACCATGCCTCTCTTTTTTTCTTGCTAGAAGACACAGCGCTGCTCAATTGCTGTTTTGGCTTCAGAGCAATGAATGAACATCTCTTGCTTCTTTCTGGCCTCCGAGAAGAGGGGCGGAGAGCTTTTGTTCCTGTACTGCTTTATGCCGCTGCAAGCAAGTTTCTTTCTGACCAGCTCTCCTCTGTGGGGGGGGAGGAAAAGATGCAAAGGATGCCAATGATCAGCCTATTGCTCTAGTAGGCCCCTAACTTCGGTTATGCCGCTGGAGATGGCTGGAGGAAGGCTGTTTCCGCTCGCTGCTTCCCAAGCTCTGATGGCATCTAATATTTCCGACGGACTGCTCGTGCCCAACTCACAGAGTGCGTACGCCGCTGCCAACTGGACACCCCAGGGCACACCTGCAAATGACACCAAGCCAAAGAAATCAGGGAAGTCGCAAACCTGCAGCCAGGCAATACGTTAACGAGTAAGCACAGCCACTAATCTCCTCCGGCATCTGGCCCTTGAGACCCTTGGCTTCTGAAGGCAAACTTAGCCTTCGCTTCCCCTCACAGAAGCCGACCTGTGTGAAAGCGCATCGCTCGGAGCCTCGCTGCCTTGGCCCCAGGTCCGTGAACATCCCGCAATCCCCTTCCAACCCAGAACAATGGCTGGCAGGCATGCCGCCATCCCCGGCACATTAAAATACAGAAACAGGGAAACCGTTACCTTTCTCTTTGGCATGTTGCAAAAAAGCTCCGATAACCGAACTGATATTTTTTACAGCAGGAGAAAAGCCTTCTTTCAGTCCGATTTGGCTGAGGCGACCTTTAAGAAAGCAAAGAAAGGGGTGGAGGGTGAAGGCCCGTTCTCCCCCATGCCTGGGTCGTCCCACTTCAAACCGTGGCTGAGTCAGCAGAACTTCACCCTCCTTTGTAGGAAAGCCCCCCCCCCCATGCCAAACAGGAGATGTCAAGGGGAAGGGCTCCAGTCTCGCCTTTCCCTGCCCTCGGTGGGCTTCTGTTACGTGCCCGAAGGAGCAGTCAGTCGTGTGCTTTTATTCGTTCGGTTTGTGCTGCTGTTGGCTTGTCTTGAAGGTCCCCCCCCCCCCCGCTCTTGCTGTTTGTGCAAACAGATGAAGCGTGTGGATCACAAAGACACGGCTACACGGCAACAGCCAAGGGAGAACCATCATCTTCCTCATAGGGAAACCGAGGCAGGATCCTCAGCCGCCCGGTACCTGCGGAGAAGGGTCTTCAGCGCCACATACTCACCAATCAGCCGGAGCACCGTTGCTACGATTACATCAGAAGGGGAGGAAGCGTTTCCACCGCCCTGCCTGCTCTTTATCCACTTATCCATGATAGGCCAGAGCTCCTTACTGCAGAAGGAAATGGGCAATGAATCCAAGTGTGTGTGTGGGGGGGCTTATGTGCATGCGCACGGGCCCCCGGCTTCCCTTGGGACTTGCATGACTTGCCAGGCTCCCACCAAACGCACTCATGTCCAGTGTTCCCTCTAGGCTGAGTTAGCGTGAGCTAGCTCACAGTTTTTTAGCCTCCGGCTCACACATTTTTGTCTTAGCTCAGGGAGGATGGGGCTCCAGAGCAAACTGATTCATGCAGCAGCCAAATGTCTGGCTCACAACTTTAATGCCAGCAGCTCACAAAGTAGCATTTTTGCTCATGAGACTCCACAGCTTAGCGGGAACATTGCGTCATGTCAAGCACAAAACAAACACCCCCACCCTGCTGCACACCCTGCAGCCATTGCAGTTGTTAGAGAAATGCCTGATTTACAAAAGCACCCACAACAATGGGAAACAACCTATCCGTATTTAAGGGCATAGGAACACACAGGCTTCCGATCATGAATGTTTCGGTTACCCCATCTGCCAGGGACAGGCGACTGGCCCTCCAAGAATTCAGGAGTTGCCCCTGGTCAATTTCCCCCCGAACCGGCCTTGGCCCCCATCGCAGGAACAATCCCGTTCTCATATTGTGCATCTCGTGGAACCAGCGCAGAGGCAGGCAAAAGCCTCTTTGTCTACCCTCCTCTTGCAAACAAACGCCACAACAACGTTTGCCCGTAGGCAAAGGCACAACCCACCGGGCAACCTGAGGTGAGCCACTTCAGGTGCGTCAAGAAAACATTTGGCCGAACTCTCAATGGCCATGCACACGGGCAAGGAGCGGGTCCAAGTGCTTGCGATCTGGAGTGGATGCCTGTTGACTGAGGTCACGCTGCTCTTCCAACACAGAAAGGGCTGGGAGCAGTAGCAGCCAAGGGGCTTTGCGGCAGCTTCTCGGCCAGGAGGGCAGGGCCTCGGGCTCTGGGGACCCCCGCCAGTCCCTGGGCAATCCAGAACAGCGTCAGGGACCAACTTCTAGTGTGGTCAGGGCGCTGAACTGGGACTGTAGTCCCTACATTGTTTTGAAATGGGACCGACGTCTACACTTGCTATATGCTTTTCGCGCCTGTTTGCCAAGTTTGCAAAGTAGTTCGGTGCTACTCTGCAGCTCCCCAACAGAGAGGGCAAAAGAGGCTGTAATTCACGGCTGCCGCACGCAACCCACAGAGAGAGGCAAACGTAGGTCTGCCCCCCCTTTAAGGGATCCCCAGAGCCTTCCCCTCCCACTTCACCCAGTTCCACCTTCTCCCTCTGGTCTCATCCCTACCTGTAAAAGAAGCCGAAACTCCTTTTCAGCCCAAGCTGCAGTCTGAGAGCCAATGGATTAAGAACCAGGAACCCTGGATTCAAGTCCCCAACCTGGCATGAAGCCCACAGGGTGACCCGGGGCCACTCCCGTGAACCCTTAGGTCTGTTCTAACTCACAGGGCTGTTGTGCAAGGATAAAAGGGCAAACTCTGAGCTCCTTGGGAGGAGGGCGGGATAAAAATGTGGCAAGACAGCTCTCCCAGCTGTACCAGTGACAGGCCCAGCCCAAGGGCTTCTGGGGCCCGGAGGCCAGCCAGCAGCACTACGCCAGCCGTGCCACGGGCGCAGACCTGCCATGGCCCAGGTGCCCTCAGAGCCCCAAAACCAGAGGGAGGGAAGCACAGCAGACCTGGCAGCCATCTGCTCTTCCTCGTCTCGCCCCCGGCCACCCAATCTACTGTGGAGCCAGAGGGAGGGAGCGAGGGGAGTGGGGTGGAGCCAGCTGCCGCTAGCTCTTCATCCCTCCCTCCCTCCCTCCCTCCCCCCCTTCTGCGATTGCCCCGGTCCAGTGAGTGAGCTCCATGAATCAACATCTTCTGGTGGTCCCCAGCCCCAGGGATGTCCGTCCAGCCTTGACCCTGGCCCCTGCCTGGTAGAATGAGCTCCCGTATGAGATCAGGGCCCTGCGGGATCTATTACAGTTCCACAGGGGCCTGCAAGACGGAGCTCTTCCACCGAGCTTTCGGTTAAGGCGGCGGGCATCCTTCCCTTCTCCCGGCCAACCCGCAACCAGTGGCCTGGTTCTAATTTGACATCGGGGCACCACTGCTGTATTCAGATGCGACTGACACCCGAACAGGTCATTTTACATGGTAGTTGTGATTTTAAGATCAGTGATTTTTATGTTGTTTTAATTTGCTATTCAAATGATTGTTGAGGATACTGGTGTAAACTGCTCTGAGACTGCTTGCGGGGAGGGTGCTTTGTTAATCAAACAAACAAAGGGTGCCCTGCACCAGTGAAATGGTTTGAGTTGCAACGGGACTCAACAGACGTGCTCACAGACATCTTGAGTATCATCATCAGAACTGCAGGGATCGGGAGCACCAGAAGTCGTCGTCTAGGAGACAAAACACACTGATGGGGGAAAGCTAATGATACCTTATGATATGATCGTGGGTCCAAACCCACTTTTGATGGGAGCACAGCAGATCGATTGCAAACACATATTCCCACATGCTCTCCTGCAGGTCTTCTCCATGTTGATCACTCGCCCGAAATTCCATTTGTGGACACAGCTGGATTGCCATGAGCAAGCTGGAGATCATCATGCCAACATCCACTGGCTGACTCTAGGGGAATGGAACAGGCAGCGTTAGCTTCACCCCTGACAGATTTGTATGTTGGAAGAATTCAGTGGAAGACCTTTTGGAGAACGTTGACCTTGGTTATGCCAAACCAACCGAGCTGGCTTTGGGGGTGGCGATGCATCACTCTACAGCGGACATGCTTCTCTGTATGTATTTTGGAAATCTTTTATAGAAGAAGAAGAAGAAGGAGAAGGAGAAGGAGAAGGAGAAGAGGAGATTGGATTTATCCCCCGCCCTTCACTTGGAGTCTCAGAGCGGTTTACAAACGCTCTTATCAGAACTACGGCTTGCCCAAGGTCATCCAGCCAGGTGCAAGTGGAGGAGTGGGGAATCAAACCCGGTTCTCCCATACTAGAGTCCACGCACTTAACCACTACACCAAACTGGTTTATAGAAACTTGTGTGCAGATAAGCCATGGCTGTAATATTTTTGTTTCTATGCACTATATACCTTCTTTCTCTAAATGAATTACTGGATGTTGAGTTGTGTGTCCCTTCTGTTCTTCTATTCTTTTTTTTTAGAAATAAAAAAAAAAGAAAAGTAAAAAAGAAAAGAAAAGCTTAATTTTTTTGCTAGCAGAATTGCCCAGCGATGACCCAAAGAACAAACTCTGTCTAAACTACATGCAACGGAAATGCTTTTTCTAATTGCTTTCTTCTTTTGAGCAAGACTCATTAAACTTTTAGAACAGAGCCATCCCCACTCCTGTAAGAGTCTATCTTGAAGGTAGACCTTCCCTGCCTCCCCCACATGGAGCCTTTCCCAAATCCATAAAGGGAAGAGAACTTCACAAATAGGTAATGCTCTGTGGGTTTGATGAGCTTTTGGATCCTGTCTGCAATCTCTTTAATTTTCGCCCCCGGCAAGCAACACACCTCTGGGGCCGGGGGGGTCAGGCCTGGACATTCCGTACCCCTCAGCAGGGAGTCACCTATGACCAACCCCTTCCTTTTCCTCCCAGTGTTCTTTCTTCGTATCTCCCTGTCCTCCCCGTCTTCGTTGTGTTTGTGATACTCCCACTGGCAGCGTTCCCATCTCTTCCTCCACCGCAAGAGCCTGGAATCGATCCCTCGGTTCTAATGGCACAGAGTGCCGTCTCGCTCCAAGGAGTCTTCTTAGGGCAGTCAACCTCACTGTTGTCGCTTTGACCGGTCTCTCCTTCCCTATGCAGGACATCCAAGGCCTCTGTTAACGAACTCCTCCCCTTCCCTGATCTCATGGAGAGTCACCATCCTTTCCTCCAGGCTTCGAACCTTCTCCTCTAATCGTCCTGTCAACATGCACTTCTGACAAGCGTAGTCTGTCTTGTCCTCAGGGAGGGAGACAAACAGGGCGCACTCCCCGCAGGTGACCGGGAAGGGTCCGTGAGCCCTTCATCACCACTTTCAGCACTTCAGGAGCTAACGGTCGGGTTAGAACGGATAAGAGGAAGTACTTCTTCACCCAAAGAGTGATTAACACTTGGAATTCACTGCCACAGGAAGTGGTGGCGGCTACAAGCATGGATGGCTTCAAAAGGGAATTAGCTAAGCATATGGAGCAGAGGTCCATCAGTGGCCCCTATTAGCCACAAGGTATCGATAGGGGCTCTGGGGCAAGTGATGCTCTGTCTTCTTGGTGCTTGGGGGGGGGGGTCAACAGTGGGAGGGCTTCTAATGTCCTGGCCCCACTGGTGGACCTCCTGATGGCACTGGTATTTCTGGCCACTGTGTGATAACAGAGTGTTGGACTGGATGGGCCTTTGGCCTGATCCAACATTGGCGACTCCTATGTTCTTATGTTAAGACGGGTGTGATCTCGTGACCTGTTCCTTTAACTAAAAGGAAATGGATCAGGAGCGTTACACCGGTCCAAGTTCACAGTGAGGGAGGAGGGCTTAAGAAAACTGTTAAATACCACGGGCCTATGTACCCAGCAGCAGCAGCTCACTCCGGTTCATTTCCTGTCCAGTGACATCTGCTCTACCGCCCTGGAAAATGGCAAGCCTCGCTTTTTAAACGGAGCATGGGAAATAAGGATTTCAGGATTTATGCTCAGCAGAAAGTAACACGTGATCTCTAGTGTCCCTCTCTCACACATCTGAGAATTACAACAAACGTTGAGTCCAGTGGCACCTTTAAGGCCAACAAAGTTTAATTTCGTGCATGCACACGAAAGCTTATGCCCAGGATGAAACTTTGTCGGTCTTAAAGGTCCCGCTGGATTCAAACTTCGTTCTGTTGCTTCAGAGCAACACGGCCACCCCCACCTGAATCTATCTGAGAATTAGTCTCCGTCCTGCATACGTGCAAAGTAACCAAAGAATAATCCCGCCCAGCCCCCCTTACCTCTTCCCACTTCAGAACAGCCTTCAGGCATTTCAGCACTTGTCCTCTGGCACGCTTTCTGGTGACTAACTGGACAGCTTTGTTGATCACACCTTCGGAAGTGAATATCTCACTCCACATGTTTCCCATAAACAACATTAACTTGGCAGGTTGGGGAAAGTCTGGTGGGGAAGAGAAGAGATCAAAATAGAGAAGCGTGATTCCGAGATGCAAGACGTCCAAGATTATTATTATTTTTCTTTTACAAGATGGATATTTATCTACATGTATATGTAAGATTAGGAGCTGCGGTGGCTCAAGTGGTTAAGACGCTGAACTGCAGGCTGTGGAAGGTCGGTAGTTCAGCCGTTCGAGACCCGAGTGTGCCGCATGACGGAGTGAGCTCCCGTCTCTAGTTCCAGCTCCTGCCAACCTAGCAGTTCGAAAGCAAGACATTGCAAGTAGATAAATAGGTACCACTTCGGTGGGAAGGCAACAGTGTTCCGTGCGCCTTGGTGTTTAGTCATGCCGGCCACATGACCACGGAAACGTCTTCGGACGGCGCTGGCTCTTCGGCTTGGAAACGGAGATGAGCACCGCAACCCTAGAGTCGGATTCGACTGGCTTTCGAGCAAGGGAAACCTTTGCCTTTACCTTCATATGTAAGATCCCCGCCAGGGGATACGTGAGTGAAAGAACCAGGCTGCCAAGGGCTCTCACTGGGTCCTCTGCATTTTCTGCAATAAAACTCAGTGGGCTGCAATGCCCGATTCTAGTTCCAAGACCCCTGGGTCTCAAACAACAGGCTGAGCGCCGGTTGGTTATTATCTTACTAAATAAAAGTAGACACAATGCAAAATTCCAGTTTGGGCCAAATGTGTAGGCCCTGTAACACATGTCAGCCAGGAGGCTACAAAAAGATTCTTCGGCCTACCAACTTGGGGTGGGGAATACGGCCTGCACGGTAAATGTGTCATGAGCTAAAAAAATGTGAACTTGGAAATAAAGTCTTTCCCTAGTCCTCAAAAATAATAAAACCCATAAAAAGCCTTTTCGTAGAATGAAAAGAGGGAATCATTCTAATCGTTTGATACGTGATGCGTCGTTCTACACATTCTTCAACCTTATACTGTTTCCTACCATATCCCAACGAGCACCCCACGGAGGAACTGTGATTATGGCCTAAGGACGCCTTCTGATTCTTCATCTTATTTGGAATTTCACACAGAACTTAACATCTGCAGATCGGGAGGCCCAGGCAACCAACTCCTCCCCAACTCCAGAGGGTGGGGAAATCGCATAGACCAGCCCCTGTGTACAACAAGCCACTCATATGGAGGCCCAGTTTGCATAGTGGAGGTAAAGAACTTGCGCTCCACCATAACGAGTCCAATCATTTCCCAGGCTGAACATCCTCACTGGGGTTGTGAATTCTTCAGGTGGTTGGCAGTTCTCCGAACTAGACATCTGCCCGAAGCAACAGACTGGGGTTGGATTTCATGGACTCATTCCACCAGAGGAAGCACTTGCCTGTGCGAGTGGAATGGATCTGCAAGATCCAATCTGCTGAGGAGGAGATTGGATTTACACCCCGCCCTTCACTCGGAGTCGTAGAGCAGCTTACAAACTCCTTTCCCTTCCCCTCCCCACAACAGACACTCTGTGAGGTAGGTGGGGCTGAGAGAGCTCAGAGAGAACAGAAGAAGAAGGAAAAGGAGGAGGAGGAGGAGGAGGAGCTTGGATTTATACCCCACCCTTCACTCGGAGTCTCAGGGCAGCTTACAAACTCCTTTCCCTTCCCCTCCCCACAACAGACACTCTGTGAGGTAGGTGGGGCTGAGAGAGCTCAGAGAGAACAGAAGAAGAAGGAAAAGGAGGAGGAGGAGGAGGAGGAGCTTGGATTTATACCCCACCCTTCACTCGGAGTCTCAGGGCAGCTTACAAACTCCTTTCCCTTCCCCTCCCCACAACAGACACTCTGTGAGGTAGGTGGGGCTGAGAGAGCTCAGAGAGAACAGAAGAAGAAGGAAAAGGAGGAGGAGGAGGAGGAGGAGCTTGGATTTATACCCCACCCTTCACTCGGAGTCTCAGGGCAGCTTACAAACTCCTTTCCCTTCCCCTCCCCACAACAGACACTCTGTGAGGTAGGTGGGGCTGAGAGAGCTCAGAGAGAACAGAAGAAGAAGGAAAAGGAGGAGGAGGAGGAGGAGGAGCTTGGATTTATACCCCACCCTTCACTCGGAGTCTCAGGGCAGCTTACAAACTCCTTTCCCTTCCCCTCCCCACAACAGACACTCTGTGAGGTAGGTGGGGCTGAGAGAGCTCTTTGGAGAACTGCCCTTGAGAGAACAGCTCTTGTCAGATCTATGGCTTGCCCAAGGTCATCCAGCAGCTACAAGTGGAGGAGTGGGGAATCAAACCCGGTTCTCCCAGAGTCCATGCACTTAACCACTATGCCAAACTGGCTCATCAGATCACAAATTGGAAAATGAAATGCGGAATATGCCTGTTTTAACATTCTGACAACCAAGCCACACCATACCTTCTTTGAGCAGACTGTAGCAAAACAGGCGTGCTCTTTCCAGGTCCCTCAGTTGCCGACATATCCCAACGTACACCCTGCACAGAGACTGAATGTAACTGGGTTCCAAGGATGCCTTTTGATGCTTCAGCTTCTTCAGGATAGCGTGCAAGACTGGCTCAGCTAAGCTCTGTAACCGGTAGAATTATGTTTTTAGCCCTTGCTACTTAAGACATTACCCACGAAAAGACCTTACGATGATTTTTAAGGGCAAGCAATTTTTTTAAAGAGACAATTATTAAATTACAGAAGGACAGATCAGTGCAAGCAAGCAGACTGACGGCATTATAAAGCACAGCCCAAGTGAAAAGCAGCATACAGGTAAGATACATTGCAAAGCTTAAAGTTGACGATCGGTGATTACATAAAACAGCAGGGGCAAATGAAAACACCGTGGCTGATAGCAGCGTCAAGAGCCAGGCATCTTCAGTGAACAAAAACGATTTTATGAGCCACGAAAAGTTACACAGTTAGGAGACCTTACTCCTGCGGGAAGGGAATTCACAGCTCCATAAAGAGGCGAGCTCCTGCCTGGCCCACACAGCTATGGCCCCACTGGCTCACAGTTTGCTGCAATCTTTCCCAAGAGATTGCAGACATCTAAATAAACCCGGGATTTATCAATATATTTCATTCAGAACACGGCACTAGAATGCGGATGAAAATATCCATGCAACAGGGCCATGTATAGAGAAGGTGGGTTTTTCTGCAATCCCAGAACGCCTGGATATAGAAAAAAATCTGGGGGGGGGAGGTTTTTAAAAAAGGTGTTCTTTAGCCCCCCAAAAAACCTCCAATGAAAAATGCTGATGAAATCACATAACACTGGTGCCCAGCTGACTGGAGGACTGGCCAGCGGGAGGGTTCAAAGGCCAAGAAAGGGGCCAGGAGGGCAGATGAGATTCCCCTCCTCCATCGACCTAGCAAGTGCCCCCGGCCTGTCATTAATATTTTCTGCCCCTTCCAACTGTTGTTCAAAGTGGTTTACAACAGTTTGAACACATAAATAAAAGCGATCCACATGAACAGGGCCGGCTCACTCACTAGGCGATCGCCTAGAGTGGGACGGCCCTTAGGGGCACCAAACTGCACCCGGCCCAATCCTCTGGGAGTTTCTTGATTATTTGTGTTTTTCATTCTTCCTAAAATGCATTTATTTTTGAAAATTGGTGGGTGCACGGGGGGGGGGGGGGGGCAGAAGGGATCCTCGCCTAGGGTGCAAAATAAGCTGGAGCCGGCCCTGCACACGAAACAGAAACACGTGACTACTAGCCTAATGAAAACAAACTTTCAGAACACGCATAGGGGATGAATCTCCACTAATCTCCAAACACCTGATTTAAGAAGGGTTCAGTGTTCCTTGATCATGGCCTAACCCAGGGCTTTCTCTGTAGAAAAAGCCCAGCAGGAACTCATTAGCATAACAGGCCACACCCAACAGCAGAAACACATTAGCCTATTAGGCCACACCCATGACACCACAGCTCATTAGCCTATTAGGCCACACCCCACATGTTGCCAGAAGTGCAGTCATCCAACCACACCCACCTTTTGCTTCTTATTCTGTTTACTTTGTTGTCAAAATCCAGGGCCTTTTTTGTAGCAGGAACTCCTTTGCATGTTAGGCCACACACCCCTAATGTAGCCAATCCTAATGAGTGTCTGCTGTTGGGTGTGGCCTATTATGCTAATGAGTTCCTGCCGGGCGTGGCCAACTCAGGAGCCAGCCGGAACTCCCGCTCCTGTGCGTTTCTGCCCCAAAATAGCTCTGGCCTAACCTATTTTCAGAAGCTTCTGCAAATCAAAACTTCCATCCACTTTGCCTTCCCCTGGTGGAAGGTACCATCTCATGAATGCAAGATGCTAACAAAAGAAATTTGCAGGCTCCAACACGGGCTTAGAGCAGTTCTCCCTCCCATGAAGGTTTGTGGGAGACCTAGAGACAATTGTAGGGAAGACCCTTGAGCAGGTGACGGCTACATTCTGCAGCAACCAACACCTAGGCAGACTGAATCCCCCCTGCCTGCGTCAGTTCTTCCTGACATAATTGGATTTGTGCAACTGACTGTACCCCTTGCAAGTGAATCATCCTCTCAAGAAGAGCTGCCGCTTTGCCTTCGTGAAGGTATACGGCATTCCGTTCTGCCCCCCTTCTAATGCCAGTGTGGGGATTAGTGCCTCAATGCACGGATTCTCCCACGCAAGTGAATTCATGTAAAGTGTGAACGAAGATCCCTGTAACCACTGACCTGTGGAACAGACGATCCGTTGCTGGGATTGAGAAGGGGAGCAGAAAGCACGGCATGTTTAAAGGTGAGCCTGAATTCAAGAAACAGGAGGCCCTTTAGGTTAAACACCACAGTGATGTCTGGGACTGAAAGAATAAATAAGGGCAGGGGGACGGGGGGAAGCCATGCAAACCCAAATGCGTCATTCAGATCAGGCAAGAACGATAAACCTCCAGATAGTTAGCTCTTTTACAATTTAAGCATGTCAAAGGCTGCTGCTTTCTAGCTTTGTAGGCAGAAGGGCTCTGATACCATCCTGATGACGTCATCTGTCCCCTTGTTAGATATTAGGGAGAGCACTTATGTTGTATTGAATGTTTTTAAAATGCAGTTTTAATGTTTTATGTATTGGGCATTGGCCCCATCTGTACACCGCCCTGAGTCCGCTCGCGGGGAGGGCGGGTTATAAATTTAAATAAATAATAAATACGCCTCCCCTGGCACTGCTATGGTCCCAACAATGAGTCCAGAAAGCTCTATACTTTGCATTATTGCTTTCTACACTGGTCACAGAACGGGCTGAGGGGGGGGGGGGGGGGGGAGGGAACGACACCATGTCACCGACCTTCTTTGCAATGCCAAATTCATACACAACTTCTTTCTCTTCATCTGTCATTATTGGGATGCTTAATGTACCGCCCACATGGACACGGCTATATATAACAGGGAATAGGTCGAAACAGGACTCGGACATGTTCTCCAGTGCGACCGTCACAGCTCTGTCATCGGGATCCATTTCTTCCGCTGGCGAAATCCAGCTGGAATCGCCCACTGGCAGAATGGCATCCCCATTGCTAAGACAGACCGTTTCACCCGCAGGGCCCTGGGCGCCGGGATCGGCATCTCCAACGGAAAGCTCTTCCTCGCCGGGGTCTGGTTTCGACAACTCGCTATCTAGCCGTAGCCTTTTGGCACTTTTGGGCATAGCTGAGGACGCCGGCATCCTTTTCCCAGCCTTGCCCACGCTGGAGGACAGCGGCTCTGAAAATGAAGTGGTCCCGGTTTTAACAAAAGCAGTGGAGGAAGAAGCAATTTCCTTAAAGCCGCTGATCTGGTGGATGGGCAGCGGGACATTTTTGCCCTCTAAGGCAGACGGCCGACTGAGCTGAATGTTACCTTTGAGGATGTTGAGCGTTAGGGCTCGGGCAGACAGCTTGGGATACATACTGTCCAAAATCTTCACCGAGTTTCCCTGGGGCACGGCTTGAGCGGCACTGCCGGCTGCGGAAGGGGGAAACCGGCCCGGGACCGGAAGGGCGTGTTTCGGAGTGGCGGCACAGAACTGAAGAGGGGAAGACAAAGTCCTCTCACCAACCAACACCTCAGAGGGCGACGGAGTGGCGTGCAGAGCAGCAGGCCGCTTTTGTTTCAGTTTATCCGACAGGGGCGACATCAGAGGAGGGAGGGGAGTTTCACACAGAGGAGAGATTGGTTCATTCAGAGGGGACGGCAAAGAAATCTGGCTCGAGGAGGACGTTATCGGGGAAACGGGCTGAGCACTTCTTGGAGGTGTAGCTATCAAAGGCGGGAGCAAGGGGGGCAAGGGGGCCCCCATCTCTTGCCTAATTTTCCTGAGGGTCTTTGGAAAGTGCTTCACGGGTGTGGAGGTGTCTGCGTTGGCTACAACAGTCTCAGCCAGCGAGTCCTGCCGACTTCTCCTCCTCCCTGCGCGGCTGGGTATTCTCGGGAGGAGCTTGACACAGCCACCTCCCGCTCCCGCCTTTGCCGAAACGTTCATGAACTCTGCCGGTTTGTGTACTTGCTCGGCTCCATCTTGTTCGGGAGGTTCGACGAGCAACTCTGAGTTTTGAGATGTGACTTCCTGCTTTTCAGTGACTACCTGCTTTTCAGTGACTTCCTGCTTTTCAGTGACTTCCTGATTTTCAGTGACTTCCTGCTTTTCAGTGACTTCCTGCTTTTCAGTGACTTCCTGCTTTTCAGTGACTTCCTGCTTTTCAGTGCCAGGATTTTCTGAATCCACTGGTACGGAATCCTCGCTGGTCACAGCAGCAAGAGCTTCCGCATCCTTTTTAGTGCGGTATTCTTTCTTAAGGGGCGTGCCGGTGCCGCCATCAAGATGGTGGGATGTTAAATGGTGTTGTGCTGTCTTTGAGCTCCGCCCCGAAGCAGCAGAGGCCCTCTCTTGCTTGGCGCTCAAAGTTGAGCCTGCCGCGGAGGGCTCCGTACTGGTATTGCTGGGCTCCGTCTCAGACGAAAGTATGCCACCGTTCGCCTCCAGATCACTGGCAGACAATTTCCCGGAGGCAGGTTGCCTGTGATCCGCCTCTGCCCTGTTTGTCAGAGCAACACTTCTACCCGCTTCCTTCTCGTCCGGTACAGAGGCTTCCAGTGCCGAGGAGCCCTTTTCACGGCTCCACGGTGCTGCATATGAGTGCTCCGCGATCTCTGCGGGGGCCTCTTCAGCCCAGGAGTCACCGCTGTGTGCCTGCTCATCCTTCGGAGAGGCATCCTCTGCAAGACGCAACAGCTCGTGCACGCCGGAAGAAACGATCACGTTGTCTGGTACATCTGCCTGGTCATTCTGGACAGTACCCACTTCCTCGTTGGATGCCAGGAGCCTTGAATGCTTCTTCGTGGGATTCACTTTTCTGAGAGGATAGTCTTCTTCTGACGAACTGGAGGCAGAGACGTCCAGCACCGTGACAGCATCGTCTGGGGTCTTAGCCCCGTCAGCCTCTCTGGAACTCGCCTCCCTGCTCAATGTTTTATCAGTTTCTTCAGACACGGCTTCATTAAGAGGCTGTCCTAAAGTACAGTTTTCCGAGGGACTCCCTAGTACCTCACTGGAAGTAGTAATAAGCCCCCTGTCATTGCTTACAAGGTCTGAGTTGACTGAAGGAGTGTGCACTGCGCTAGCACTGTTTGGAGAGGGTGCTTCAAGAAGTTCTCTACTATTTATTTCCTCACAACATCCTTTGACGTCAACCAGTGCCCGGGTTTCACAGCTGGCTGACCGTTCCCCAGCTCTTTTGACTTCTACCTCACCTGGATCATTGTGACGGCTTTCTGCGGAATGTTCCCCATCCGCTTCTTTACCCATTAAGCGTTCTCTGTCATTACAGTGATCGGTGTGATCAGCTCTGGTCGAAGGAGCCATAAATGAAGGGTCAGAAGTTTGTCCATTTGCAGTCACATCACGACCTGGGCCCTTTCCGCCAAAAGACAATGCTGTAGAAGGCTCTAAACTAACGGCAAGCACGACGGGGCTGACTGCTTGGGGAGCTGCATTTTCTGCCTGTGACGCGTCTTGCATCAACTGGGCTGAACCTCCATCAGGATCCACTTCCAGTATAGCCTCATTTGTTACACAGCACTCAATCATCTCCGTGTCTTCCGCAGAGCTCTTCCTTGGCTTAGGTGAGATGCACTTGTCATTCGGTATCGTCATCTCTTGAGATGGTGCAGCAGTTGGTGAACTTCCAGTTATCAAACAGGACTGCACAGGTCGCTCAAGCACAATCCCTGAAGAGGTTCCCTTTTCACATTCCACTGCTGTACACAGCCCTGTAGTTCCCACCGTGGCGATTTCCAAAGGTTCACCACCACCCTCCCCAAGTCTTTCTGATGTCAAACATTTATCCTTCGTTGTAACCCCAAATGACTGAATGCTATTTGAAATGTTATGTTTTACAGGCATAGACTCCAACTTATCATATGGATTGTCAAACGGCTCCAGTTCTGGCGCATTTCTCGTGACGTACTCCAATTCAGGGGCTGCCTGGTTCGTTCGCACAGGTTCCTCAGGTTGCGACAAACCATCTTTGGCGACAGACACTTGGGTTGGTAACACAGGAACAGTCATATTGCCTGACTCCTCTTGTAACGATCGACTAGAATCTTTTCTGTCAAGGTGGTCTTCCAGATGGAGGCAACCTTTTGTTAGGACCAGTGATGGCGCTTCCTCTAAGATGCGTCCGGCCATTCCATCTTTGCTTACAATACTTTCAACTTCCGTTTTTAGCTGATCGCCCTCTTCGTTTTTAGAAGCAGAAGGTGCAGTGCTGCATTCATTCCTGGTCTGAACCATTTCACTGGAGCCACACAGTGAATTCTCCCATCCATTGGCTGCCTGTGTATTATTACGCTTTGGTCTCAAAGCATCAGCACTGCTCAGTTCAGCCTTTTCATTTGTGCCATGCTCGCTACCTTTGCAACATCCATCTATGTTGCTGCCATTTTCTTCTGCCCAGTGCCTCTTGATGGATACGCCAGAGGCACAAACATCTTTTCCCACGGCCGGCATGAGCGCAGCATCAGCATGCTCGTGCTGGACCCGATCGATGTGACCATCTGTTTCAGAATGACATCTAAAACTGCCAAGATTTGTTCCTCTGTCTGTGGACTCTGGTTCACCATTACGCCACGCACACGGCTCTTCTGCGCTGTTTTGCTCAGAGGCTGTATGTTCGGAAAGAGGTCCTGCTCTTCCCAAATCAGATTCCACTTGGATGTCCTCGGAGCCCTCTTTCGTCACTGCCACTCTGAACACATTACTGGGGCCATCTCTGTCAGGAGCTACCAGGGCGTTTTCAGTAGCTAAGGCAGGCTCTTCAGTTTCCTGTGGGTTGCTACCGTTTTGAGTTGCAGGCTGATCGCCTTCTATAAGAGGAGACACGGATGCTTCTACTGTTCCCGTGAGGTCTCCCTTCTTCTCTTCTTTTATTACGTCACTAGACTCATTTAGCGCTCGTTCAAAGCGACTTGTAGCCACTTCCTGCAAAGGTCTTGGTTCAACTATTTTCTCTTGTTCCTGAAGGCACTCAACAGACATCAAGTCACACGCAGAAGTCTTGTTTTCTGTTTTTGTCACAGCGGCCGTACTTTTGGCAACGTTTTCTGTGCTGTGAAATGCTATTTCTGGGTTCCTTTCCATAAACTCACAGTTTCCTTCTAGATGCTTCTCTCCACCCTTAAATTTGGCACCTGTCCTACTAAGCAGTCCTGATTTTGCCAGAGGGTCAGAACGTAGCACTGACTTGTTATGCTCTAAGACTGCTGGTCTTCCAGGTAACTCACAAGGATCACTGCGTTCATTATTTACAACAGCAGGGTCATATTCGCTCAGTGGTTCTGCTGGGTTCTTTCTGGACGCCGTGTAAGCATCTGGTGCACTCTGATCATGGTTTTCTAAAATGTCTTCAACTTTTTGAGCCTCCTGGTCCATTTCTTCATCACTGGAATCTGTTAGTTCTCCAAATAACATGCCCTTAAAGAGATAAAAGAGAATAGTTGGTAAGGTGATATACATTTACACAGTATATAGACAAAATTACTGTAATGACTGTATTACCAACTACTAGTCATGGTTACTGAAAAAGAAATCCGTAAGTGAATACGCACTGAAACCACAACTCAGGTCTAATTCTCATTGGAGTTATAAACCTTCAATGCGTACATGTTTCAGTGTTGCGTGGGTTAAGGTGCCGCTTGTTTCGGATTTTGGCAATAACCCCATTTCTCATTTTTGAGATCTCTGGTACTTTTGTACCTGCTTGTCTATGTTTTTAGACGTTTGTCTTCCTTTTTTCATACCTTTTCTCAGGGCAACATGCCCCACAAGACAGAGACCTCAGGAATTGTGGGAAGCAGAAACAAACTTTGACCTATAAGCTGCTGCTCTCTCCACCGCCACAGTGACTGCTTCTGACTTATAGGTAAAGGTAAAGGTTCCCTTGCTCAAAAGCCAGTCGAATCCGACTCTAGGGTTGCGGTGCTCATCTCCGTTTCCAAGCCGAAGAGCCAGCGCTGTCCGAAGACGTTTCCGTGGTCATGCGGCCGGCATGACTAAACACCGAGGTGCACGGAACGCTGTTACCTTCCCACCGAAGTGGTCCCTATTTATCTACTTGCAATTTCTTGCTTTCGAACTGCTAGGTTGGCAGGAGCTGGAACTAGAGACAGGAGCTCACCCTGTCTTGCGGCACCCGGGTCTTGAACCGCTGAACTACTGACCTTCCACAGCCTGCAGTTCAGCGTCTTAACCACTTGAGCCACCGCAGCTCTTTCTGACTTATACCCCAACACATTCCGTAGAAATACTGTAGAAGTGGCTCCAACGCGGCTAGCAATCAAAACCCATGTTATCCAATCAATACAAGGCAATCAGAAGTAAAGGCCGCATCCCATGATTCCCAAATCCGTACTACCTGCAGGTTCCGACGGACTGCAGGCTACAACTCTGCTCGGCCAGGGCTGAATGCGTGACCCAGCCTAAGGTCCCCCTCCAGTAAGAGGGGACTGGAAGAGTCACCAGAGGAAGGCTTCGAACTGGGCTGAGTGAAGTGGTAAGATACAGGCCAATAAAACACCAGAAGTTTGGAATACAATTCACTTTTCCTCAAGTGCGTGCTGGTTCAGGATGGTCTTGGTTCCCAAAGCAAGCACAAAGTCCAAGCAATGGAACACCTTCTACTAGGACCAACCAAAAGGCACAGAGCATTGCACAAGACCTGAGCTACTAGGTCAGGCTAGATGTTGCAAAATTCAGAAAGGTTAGAATGGCGTAAAGGAGATTTCCCCCCCCTGCAGAATGCCCACGCAGTGTTACATGTCAACTTCTTATCTGAAGAAGTGAGCAGTGACTCACGGAAGCTCATCCCCTGCCACAACTTTTGTTAATCTTCAAGGTGCAACGGGACTCTTGCTCTTTTCTAATGTCAGCTTGGTTGGTCCTGACACAAAGTGTCAGAAACAACATTCTGACCCTGGTTTTGGATTCTGCCTGGACCTGCAGGGCTGCATAACTTTCTCTGCTTGGAAAAGACCAAACCAAGCTGGCCTGCCGAAACTTTCCAGAGACAAGGCCCATGACGAGGGCTCCACCACCAAGAACGAGACGTTTAGACAGTGCCGGCACTCGCAGAAGGGTCTGCCTGATGGCTTAAGTGCCCAGTGTTGCACTCTATTAAAGTCAATGTACTTAGAGGGGTGTAACTCTGTTTCGAACTGCACTGCGAGTCACCACCATTTACGGGTGTCTCCAATGGATCCTACACTTAATTCGAGTACTTAAACAGTTTTGCTTAGAAACTCACTAGATGCAGGAACACCTCTGCCGTCTCCCAGTCGCAGCCGGCTTGCTGCAGTTTATAAGAACCACCTCCCTCACAACATTACGTCGCGGCTTTGTTGGAACTTACTGGGATAGTGGCAGGTGAAAACTGTATGGGAGACAGGAGGCGAGGAAGGGGCCTAACCCACTTCAAAATCTCTGCCAGATCTTCACCAGCTTCTTCTGGCTCCTTGCTGAGAAGACTGAGGCTGCTTGCTGATGGCTCTGTCCGTATGTCGAGACCTGGAGACTGGCCTCGGGAAGCCGCGCCATCGTTGGTGCGGGCCTCGGACGTTTCCATGGCCTCATTTCCCATCTGGCCAACATGCCCGGCAGGCCTGCTGTCCAACTTTATCTGCAAGGACGTCAAAGAAGTTTGCGTTGTACAGGTTTCTGGTGAAGAACAACGAGAAGGCCACTTTCCTCGAGCTCTCTTGGGTTTTGGAGGGTTCTGCACCGCTTCTATGGGACAGAAAGATTACCTACAGTTTAGTTTAATTCTGAGTTTTTCTCCCACCTGAAAACTGAGGGTAACAAAAAGCCCAGGCTTGCCAAACTGGATTGTTACTCCTGACCAAAACGCTTGCTCTAGTCTAGGGGGTCCCCCCATCCTTTCTGAGCCTGTGGGTAGCTGGGGGATTCTGAGGGGGAGTGGTATGCAGATATGCAGAATTAGAAAAGACACCTTTAGACATTTATCTGCTATTTTGACCTATTTGTTGCTTTACAACTGTTGACCTTATAACCTTAGCTCGTTATTTACTTCTGGCTTTGCATATCTTAAACATCATGTGACATGTTAATTTTCTGTTAAGTCCCTGTCTATAAGTTTAGAACCTTACCTACCATTCCAATGTATTTGAAAAAGTGTGCCTTGCACACGGAAGCTCACACCTTGAATAAACCTTTGTTGGTCTTAAAGGTGCCGCTGGACTCTAAATTTGTTCTACGAACATATATACTTATGTCCCATTGTACCAATGAAAGGACAAAAAAGAGAAAAGGGGAAAAAACTGAACCTAAAACCTAGAATTCAGAACCTTAAAAGGTTAGTCAAGAATAGAAGAGGGCCAACTCTAAAAATCTAATTATGAAACATACAAAACTATACATGTATTTATTCAACACAAATTAAAATAACAAACAAGGGCCCATTCATACCTCATATACAAATATAGAAACCCCCCCCCCAAAAAAAACAAAAAAACGGAGGACCCCTGGCAAACCGGGAGGTCTGGCAACCCTAGTCGTGGTACTGAAACCCACAGCACTACAGGGAAAAATGCTTAAATCCATAGTGCTGATATGCTCCAAAGTTAACCTGAAACGGCCTCCCCTGCACAGCTAGTTCCCCCAGGTTAGACAGCAATGGGATGCTGAGCTGCTCTGGCAGGAAATGCATCAGTCAGTTCACAGATCACACTGCAAGCAACAGCCAATTGGATTGTGGTTCTCAATGGATTGTAGGGGCAAGCAGAATAGCCCAGAAAAATCCCACCAGGGATAGGACAGGAGTTTTAAGATGGGGAAGGGAGAACCCTTCCTTCAGACAATAATTTAAGGAGGATGGAGAGACAGAGGAAAGCTGGAGACTATGAGATAGAAGAAGAAGAAGAGAAGAAGAGATTGGATTTATACCCCGCCCTTCACTTGGAGTCTCAGAGCGGCTTACAAACTCCTTTCCCTTCCCTTCCCCACAACAGACACCCTGTGAGGTAGGTGGGGCTGAGAGAGCTCTTGACAGAAACTGCTCTTTTTCAAGAACAGCTCTTATCAGAACTATGGCTTGCCCAAGGTCATCCAGCAGCTGCAAGTGGAGGAGTTGGGAATCAAACCTGGTTCTCCCAGATTAGAGTCCACGCACTTAACCACTACACCAAACTGGCTCTACAAAGAGAAGGGTTTTCTTTGCCTGCTAAGAGGCATGAGCTGTAAGAACGGCTGTAGCCAAGTTCTGATGCACACTTCTGGTCTTTTCAACAGGGGGAAAGTTCACATTTAGGGCAAGAGGATGAATTTAGTCCATGCATAAACACTGACTTGTTCAGTATCCTCCTCATTTTGTACCAAGTAACTTTTACCTGTTTGGTAAAAGCAATTCGTTCTTTTTACACATCAGCATGGTTTGCCTGCACCTTATGCAAAGATCTCCCTTGGCCCATGCAAACAAGGAACAAGGGACCCTTTACGGAGATATGCGACAGCCAAGGGGCACACGCTCAACTGCCCCACTTCCTTTTATGCTTGGAAGAAACTGGGAACTACCCCTCAAAAGGACAGGAGAGTTTAACGGTAGCGCTGCCCCAGCCTAAGCTCACTGATTTCACAGGATTGCGCCAGAAATCCCATCAAAGCAGCAGCACCCTTCTGAACTCTAGTGGCGAGCACGGGGAAAGCAACTGAAAAAGCCCTTTCTTCATTTTGTGAGAGAGTCAGGCTGGAAGACGAGACTTCCTTATCAGTCCCATGACGCTCCCCCACAGCTAGTGGATACGAATGTATTTGGCCTCTTGCATTTGAACTATATCCATATGGAAACTCTACTGAAATGCATCACTCTCAAGGTACTTACTTGTTTTCCCACGGGGTCCTGGATGATTGTGAACACCGGCTGTTAGAGAAGGGAAAGAAAATGTTTAGCGCCGCTTTAGTTTTCTCGGAGGAGAACGAGCAGCAGGCAAGGAAGGATCTGCTGCCCAGGGAACTCTGGGCTGCAATATACTTGAGCTCACCTAAAGAGCCCTCCCTTCTGCTGATGGGGCCTTTCCCCGTGGAACTGTCGATACACAGCCAAAGCTCCTCCAGCAGCAGTTTGATTTTTTCTGCCAGAAACAAAAACAGGAGTGTTTAAGAAATAGCTAGAAAGCTGGAATCTGGTACCCACAGAGTCCTGTGCCACCATGAGTCGGAAGGAGGGTGTATGTTAGCGGATAGAATTTCTATTCCTCTCCCTCAAACGCAGAGCTGGAAGGGTACCCAAAAGCCCAGATACACACGGGCCACGCGCTCACACAGCCTGTCTACTTCATGTATGCCCCACCTTTCTGCCCAAAACTGCTTACAGTGTTCTCCTCTCCTCCATGAGTTCAAGACACCCCCAGTTTTTGTTGTTGTTCAGTCGCACAGTCAAGTCCGACTCTCCGCGACCCCATGGACCAGATCTCGCCAGGCCTTCCTGTCTTCTGCCGTCCTCTGAAGTTGGCTCAATTTCATGTTCGTTGCATCGATGACACTGTCTGACCATCTCATCCTTTGCCGTCCCCGTCTTCTTTGACCTTCAATCTTTCCCAGCATCAGGGTCTTCTCCAGGGAGTGCTCCCTTCTCATTGGGTGGCCAAAGTATTTGAGCCTCAGTTTCATTATCTGGCCTTCCAGGGACCAGTCAGGGTTGACAAAACCACAGATGGATTGCGATCCAAAGGCTGCCCCTTTCCACTGATGGAAGGCACTCCAGAAAGCAGGAGGGACATTTTCTGCCCACCACCCACCCTCCCCTCCTCCGCTCCCCACTCCCGAAATGCTGCTCCTGGGAGATAGAGACCCCTCAGGAAAAGCAGGAGGGAGAGGATTGAGTGTCTGCAATTGGGAGAGAACTGGCAAAAAGCACCCCCTCCCCTCCCGCTGACAGAGAAGAACATTTGGCTCCAACCCATTCTCGGGATAAGAGTGGTGTTACACCCCCTCGCACATGGGTCTACACCTGCAGATGGACTTCTGCACACATGTGTGCATTTATATACACACGTGCATGAGATGCTCCCCCTACCTGAGGGACCGCCTTTCTCCATATGTTCCCCCAAGGGCACTATGGTCGGGGAGTCGTCATCTCCTGGAAATTCCAGGCCCGAGAGACGTTAAATTTGCAGTGACCAGAGCCAGGGCATTTTCGGTGGCAGCTCCTACCTGGTGGAAGGAGCTCCCGGAGGAGATCCAGGCCCTGCGGGACCTTTCTCAGTTCCGCAGGGCCTGCAAGACGGAGCTCTTCCGCCAGGCCTTTGAGTAGGAGCCGCCGCCACTATTATTCCACCTTTGCCATCTATGCACCGTCTTACTATTACCATGATTGTCTGGATCCCACTGGGGGGGGGGCCTGGCGCCCCTAGCACGAAGTGGATGATAGATTTCGGGAAAGCTACCGTTGGCTTTAAGATCTACCCATTTTTTGTTTAAATTTGTATTGTTATCTGATATTGTATTTTACTGTTTTATACTACGTGTTTTTACTGTTATAATCTTGGCACATTGTGCCCTTGTTAGCCGTCCTGAGCCTTCGGGGTAGGGCAGGATATAAATCAAAGGATGGATAAATAAATAAATACAAAAAAGCAGGTGTCAGAACAGAACTATCAACATGTATCAAAACTTGTGTATACTGACAACATTTCACAGAGGACTGAGAGAAACCCCAACCCCCAAACAGGAATTAAAAAATCTCCAAACTTAGTTTGCGCAAGAAGCACATCCCTCATAAATATTCAACACATGTTCCAGCTTCGGGCAAAGCATTCACATACGAGCATCATCCCCATGGGCTCTTCTTCTTCTTGAGGTGACTAATGACTCTCCGGAGCTTTGAGCCTCTTTGGAGAATTCGGCCGATTGGCACGATAAACAATTGCAAGCGGCCCAACCACGTCAGTCTAAATTGCATCATTTGCCTTCTTCCTTCTGCTCGTTATTTAAGCCGCAGACTCAAAAACTGGGGCCAAATGAAAGAAATGGCTCTGCTTGTGTCTACCCTTCTCTGCACTTCATCGTTTGGGGCTCTGCGGAGCAAGACTTACAAACAGCCGGTGGTGTGCTTGGTTCCCCCCCCGTGGGCAGCAACTGCTTTCAGGTGACCAGGCAGGAAAGCAGCTATTATGCTGAAGAAAATATTAGTTTTCTTTTCTCTTCTCAGACTATCAATGCCAAACGATTAATATGGGGATGTTGGGCAGATGAGCTAGTACTGTTTGTGGCTTTGTCTGGAAGAGACAAGTCACGTTCTGTAACTCCAGAGGCCTAAAGGTTTGACCCATTTCAAAGGCAACGGGGTGTGTCTCCCAGCCCGAGCAGGAGTCCCAAAGCCTCCATCTTCAAAATAGGGGGGGCCAATACAGTTAGGGGCGATAATCAGTTTCCAAAAGTACCTCTCAGCCAATCTCAGCATCTCTGTTCCAAACCATACAGAATAATTCCTGCGTCACCATCCTGTGCCCACAACTGCCTCCTTCCCCCCCCCCCCAGTGTGAGCAACCCTTGCAGCTCCCAGCCAAGGCTCCCTCTAAGCCGTGGAGTCTTGTGAGCAAAAATACTACCTTGTGAGCTACTGGCATTAAAGTGGTGAGCGGGCGATTTGGCCGCTGCATACATTAGTTTGCTCTGGAGCCATCCCTTCCGGAGCGAAGACAAAAATGTGTGAGCTGCAGGTTAAAAAACTGTGAGCTAGCACACATTAGAGGAGCTGCGGTGGCCCAAGTGGTTAAGACGCTGAACTGCGGGCTGTGGAAGGTCGGTAGTTCAGCAGCTCAGGTGCCAATGTTGGATCAGGCCAATGGCTCATCCACTCCAGCACTCTGCCATACAGTGGCCAGAAATACCAGGTGCCATCAGGAGGTCAAGCAGTGGGGCCAGGACACTAGAAGCCCTCCCACTGCTGCCCCCCACCCCCCAAGCACCAAGAATACAGAGCATCCCTTGCCCCAGACCGAGAGTTCCTATCTATACCTTGTGGCTCATAGCCACGGATGGACCTCTGCTCCATATAAGAACATAAGAGAAGCCAATGTTGGATCAGGCCAATGGCCCATCCAGTCCAACACTCTGTCACACAGTAGCCAGACATACCAGGTGCCATCAGGAGGTCCAGCAGTGGGGCCAGGACACTAGAAGCCCTCCCACTGCTGCCCCCCACCCCCCAAGCACCAAGAAGACAGAGCATCACTTGCCCCAGACCGAGAGTTCCTATCTATACCTTGTGGCTCATAGCCACGGATGGACCTCTGCTCCATATAAGAACATGTTGGATCAGGCCAATGGCCCATCCAGTCCAACACTCTGTCACACAGTAGCCAAAAATACCAGGGGCCATCAGGAGGTCCAGCAGTGGGGCCAGGACACTAGAAGCCTTCCCACTGCTGCCCCCCACCCCCCAAGCACCAAGAAGACAGAGCATCACTTGCCCCAGACTGAGATTTCCTACCTATACCTTGTGGCTAATAGCCCCTGGTGGGCCTCTGGTCCATACGTTTATCCATGTTGTCCCTAGGGGACCCCATGTCTCCAGGAGCAGCACCTCTGGTGAGGTTTTGCACTGCAGAGGGGAGGGGAGAAGTCACATGGTGTTCACTGAAATCCATATGGTCCGTGGAAACTTTAAAAAGGTAAAGGTAAAGGTTGCCTTGCTCGAAAGCCAGTCGAGTCCGACTCTACGGTTGCGGCGCTCATCTTCGTTTCCAAGCCGAAGAGCCAGCGCTGTCCGAAGATGTTTCCGTGGTCATGTGGCCGGCATGACTAAACACCAAGGTGCACGGAACGCTGTTACCTTCCCACCGAAGTGGTACCTATTTATCTACTTGCAATTTCTTGCTTTCGAACTGCTAGGTTGGCAGGAGCTGGAACTAGAGACAGGAGCTCACTCCATCATGCGGCAACTCAGGTCTTGAACTGCCGAACTACCGACCTTCCACAGCCTGCAGTTCAGCGTCTTAACCACTTGAGCCACCGCAGCTCCTTGGAAACTTTACAGAGGATCTAAACCATACTTTTCTCATGCTGTTTACTGCTGACCACTGAGAGACTCCTGGGTCAGCTGACACTCCCGTGTCCCGTGGCGGGGCAGGACGGCCATGCAATGAACAGGGGTTCCAGGCACAAGTCTGTCAGAGGGGAAAGAAACTGATCCATACCCACCTTTGTCAAGGTCTGTTATGGGCCACTCTCTCTCGCTCTGGGTCTCCACGTGCTTCACCACTGGTGGAAAACAGGTAGACAGAGTCATACCAAACTTTAACGCAGGAAAATCTATCAATTAGTTACTCAAGGGGGTACCGTACCTTTCTTCTTATTTCCAGTAGGGCAGTTTTCAATCTTTTCCTGTTGGAATTAATTGGGGGGGGGGGGGGAGAGACAGCCATTACGTAAACGTAACACTCATAACTGGTTGCACTGGCCATGGAAAAGGATTCCCCTTGCTGCACAAGCCCACCTTGCAAATGCTCTGCAGATAACAATCTAATGTTGCAGCCAGAGGTTTCAGCAGGGAGTCCACACTCCCCGTCAGTGACAAATATGTACAGTCGTGCGAATTTCCAATTCGGCCCTTTGTACATTTGTTTCTCTTACTGTCCCACGGACCACTTTGGAGGGTGGCCGTGTCGGGGCTGCAGCAGAAGAGATTTATTAAAGTCCCGGAGCACCTTAGCGACCAACAACATTTTCAGGGTAGGAGCCTTTGAGCGTCACAGCTCCCTTCGTCAGATACCGTGTCTGACCACGTGAGCTTTGATTTTCAAAATCTGGCTGGTTCCTGAGGTGCTCCTGGACTTGCATCAAGCGCCTCCTCCACAGACTCCAGCCCCCTAGTCTGATATCGTAACACCTCCACTTCCTGGGCTGTCATCCTGCTGAGATTTAGAATGCACATTAAAGAGAGGCCAGTGTTTTAGGCCCCTGAACAAAACTGCACAAAAGCATGACTACCCCCGGGATGTCAGTCAAGGAACGGACCTGCAGAGGGCTCCTGCGCCCTCATACTCGCGTCCCCACCAGCAGTCAAAACACTGGAGGGGGGGAAAGGGGGGGAGAACTCAACCCAAGATATATCTGTGAACGAAGAGGGTCAAGCTAACACTATGCTATATAAAAAATACAAATGCTTATTAAGGTGTACACATGTTAAAACATACGGTGGTTAAAAGAAAGAGTCTAAATTTCAGACTTTAAAAGCTTTCCTAATACAAAATACACTTGATGGGTAAACACTTTTTAAATTAGGACCAAACGTGTTTCGGCCCCTTCGGGCCTTCCTCAGTGGTCACTATTCTCTATATTACACTGACACACATCCAAAATGCACATGTAAAAGGGTTTTTTTTTTTGAGTGTGTGTGTATGACTCTAGGGTTGCTGTGCTCATCTCCGTTTCAAAGCCGAAGAGCCAGCGCTGTCTGAAGACGTTTCCATGGTCATGTGGCCGGCATGACTAAACACCGAGGCGCACGGAACGCTGTTACCTTCCCACTGAAGTGGTACCTATTTATCTACTTGCAATTTCTTGCTTATATATAACCAGACGTTGCTTCCTTATATGCTTTGAGTTATGCTACTAGCTTATATGTTGGGCCATAAATATAGCCATGCCAATTCTTCAAATTATTCTGGTATCAGAGATTTCATTGGTAAGGATGTGTGTCACCTCCACCAAAGGTAATGATCAACCTTTGATGGAGGTGACACGCATCCTGACCAATGAAATCTCTGATACCAGAATAATCTGAAGCAACATCTGGTGTTTTATATCTATCTATCTATCTATCTATCTATCTATCTATCTATCTATCTATCTATCTATCTATCTATCTATACACACACACACAAACCCTTTTACACGTGCATTCTGGATGTGTGTCAGTGTAATATATAGAATAGGGACCACTGAGGAAGGCCCACAGGGGCCGAAACGCGTTTGGTCCTAAGTTAAAAAGTGTTTACCCACCAGCAGTCAAGCCTAGCTGACAACCAGCAGGCAGCCAGAATCCCATGTCAAGAAACCTCCTAACATGGTAAAAGCAAAGAAGAAGCTGGAAAAGCGAGCACCCCCCCCCCCTAATCTGTTGTGTAACAGCAACCTACAGAAAAGCTGGAGGAGGAAACGGCATACGATTTTCACCTGACTTGGACTTATAACGGAAGACTTTGCATCGTGCAAAACAAAAAAGCATTAAGAGATACGGACAAGGCTGAGTAACCGGCAGTCAGTAATACTGACAGCGACAGCGTACAGAACCAAGATGCGCCAGCGACCCACATTTTAATCTTACTGGGGTGGAAAGGACCAAAACATTCTACCTGTGCTTTCTTCAATTCCTTTTCAAGTACTTTCTTCTCTGCTTTCAATTGTTTGAAGTCCTGGTTGTGTTTTTCTGTCGCTTCTTTGTTTAAGGGGAAAAAAAGAATTTAAAAGGCATTAAAAAAAAAACAGTCCTAAATTAAATGGCAAAATCACAGCAAGCCTATCGTGAAGGCAAAACAGGCACCTGGTTCAGCAACCCCGTCCACTCCCAGCTTGTGGAACTCTAACACAGCATTCAGGCTTCCAAGTGCTCAGCTCTGCACTGTCATGTATTTCATTAGGATTTCATCACACTGGATGCAGCTTCCAGAAGGACATTCAACTGCTAACTACACACACCTCAGTCCCACAGCTTACGTGCTCCAAGCAGGTAAATGTCCAGAAACTTTGAACCCGGGGGGGGGGGACCCATCCCCCCTTTTCCCAGAAGGAATACATGCAACGCTTATTTTCCTATCAAACCTAAACTTCTTGTACATGTTTAACAAAACACAATGCATCATTTACTGTATATATGCCCTGCCTTTCTCCCTAAGAGGGACCCCAATGCTGTTTACATCATTCTCTTCTCTTCCATTTCATCCTCACATCAACCTAGTAAGGTAGGTTACACTCAACAATCCTGTGAGGTAGGTTAGGCTGCGTGCGTAACAGGCCCAGGGTCACTCAGCAAGCTTGCAAGGCACGAAGGGGGATTCGAACCTGGGTTGCTCTAATCCTAGCTTGACAGACACTCTAACTACTGCATAACAGAGGCTCTCATTCATGCACCACCTGGGTAGCCTAAAAAACTGTATTTTTTATTTATGGCATTTAAAAATACATATTAATCTATATAAGAAAAACTGCAAATATAGCCACTGCTACAGAAGGAATTGCAAGCTGCTGCATCCTATCCTACCATGGCATATGTATCTATAATTTTTTGCCATATGAGAGGCAGGAAAAAAGCTGAAGACTGTAACAAACAAAGTATTTATTTCTACTGGAAAAAAAATTCTCATTCAGTCAAAATAGGACTACCAGCATGTTTGCCTTTTAAATTAACCTTTATAATGTGGAACTCTTTAATAACGTATTATCATTGATTGAAAACGTAGCAAACCGTTGTTGCCAAAATTTACATTTAAACAAATAATATTCTTGAAAATGTTGTCTACTGTATACATAGGAATACTATAATCTAATACTGTAGCCTAACATAAAAATGTCCATAGTACGCATTTTGAGTAAAATCTTTTCTCTCATTTCACTTATTGCTAAAGGGAGAAAAGGTCATGGGAATTGTTTTCAATGCTCCCCCAAATTTTCCAGTTTTTCCACAGGAAAAATAGAATGCCCTCTGTCTTCTACACGCTATAAATTTCAAATGAGTGAGATGCTTTTTAGGAAGTGGTTTTTCTCACTCATAAATGGGGGGGGGGAAGTATTCATGGACTTTTCCCCCTACTGCTCCATTTCTACTGGAAAAAAAAAATAGAAGAGAGGGCCCCCCCCCCCCCCCCGCAATTTTTTCTGGGCCTTCATATTTCTAGGTCCAAGGCAGACAGGCTTATATACCTGAGAAGCCTGCCTAATGAAAATTTAATTCTTAAATACTGTAAGAACAAGCAGTTTCCACAATACATCCTTTCTCCCTTCAACAGCTTTCGTTTAAGATGTGCCACCTCAATGTGTATTTTAAAAAAACAGAACTTGACATAAGGTCTTGGAAAGACCACAGTCAAGGGGTCTTTCCAGAACATTTTTAATTGGATTTGTTGTAAATAGAAAAACTTCAGACACGCAAATGATGGCACCTGCCACTCACAGAGAAACTCTCTGCTTGCACAAAACTAGCACCTTAGATTTCCCTATACGGGGGCTTTAAAAAAACAACACATGGCTGGGGGTGGGGAGAAGAGAGCATTCAATTATGCAGGTACTTCTGCTCCGAAATACTACGAACCGAACAGCCTTGGGATGTTCCCTCTCTTAACTTTTGAACATTCTCTCCTACAGCAGTTTATTTTCGTGCACTTTTAGCATGCTCTTCATCCAAAGCAGAATACTATGTTCTCCACGCCACTCCTCCATTTTATCCTTATGGAAACCCAGGCTTACCAGAAACCCGCTGCTGACGTTCAGTGCAGCAGCAAGGGCAAAACCAAGGCGGAGAGAGTGTCATTCTACATAAGAACATAAGAGACGCCAATGTTGGATCAGGCCAAAGGCCCATCCAGCCCAACACTCTTGTGTCACACAGTGGCCAGAAATACCAGTGCCATCAGGAGGTCCACCAGTGGGGCCAAAACACTAGAAGCCCTCCCACTGTTGACCCCCCCCCCCCAAGCACCAAGAAGACAGAGCATCACTTGCCCCAGAGCCCCTATCTATACCTTGTGGCTAATAGCCACTGATGGACCTCTGCTCCATATGCTTATTTAATTCCCTTTTGAAGCCGTCCATGCTTGTAGCCGCTACCACTTCCTGTGGCAGTGAATTCCAAGTGTTAATCACTCTTTGGGTGAAGAAGTACTTCCTTTTATCCGTTCTAACCTGACCGCTCAGCAATTTCATGGAGTGCCCACAAAGAGTTCTTGTCTTGTGAGAAAGGGAGAAAAGGACTTCTTTCTCGACCTGCTCTATTCCATGCATAATCTTATAAACCTCAATCATGTCACCCCTCAGTCGTCGTTTCTCCAAGTTAAAGAGCCCTAAGCGCTTTAACCTTTCCTCATAGGGAAAGTGTTCCAACCCCTTTATCATTTGAGTTGCCCTTTTCTGCACTTTTTCCAAAGTTATAATATCCTTTTTAAGGTGTGGTGACCAGAATTGCACACAGTATTCCAAATTAGGTCGCACCATTGATTTATATAGGGGCATTATGATATTGGCTGATCTGTTTTCAATACCCTTCCTAATAATCCCCAGCATATCATTGGCCTTCTTTATTGCAGTCACGCACTGTCTCGACATTTTCAGTGAGTTACCTACTACGACTCCAAGATCTTGATCAGTCTCTGCCAGTTCAGACCCCATCAATGTGTATTTATATTTAGGATTTTTGGCTCCAATGTGCATCACCTTGCACTTGGCCACATTGAACGCCATTTGCCATGTTGACGCCCACTTGCCCATCTTTGACAGATCCCTTTGGAGTGCCTCACAATCCTCACTGGTTCTCACCACCCTGAACAACTTCGTATCATCCACAAATTTAGCCACTTCACTGCTTACTCCCAACTCCAAATCATTAATGAACAAGTTAAAAAGCAGTGGACCAAGTACTGATCCCTGTGGTACCCCACTGCTTACCCCCCTCCACTGAGAGAACTGCCCATTTATACTCACTCTCTGTTTTCTATTAATTAGCCCGTTTTTGATCCAAGGCGGGTTGGCCTGAAAGAGAGTAACTGGCCCAAGATCCTAAGCCAACAGTCTAACCATTATACCAACCAATGTTCCCTTTAAGCCATGGAGTCTCGTAAGCAAAAATTCTACTTTGTGAGCTACTGCCATTAAAGCTGTGAGTGAGTGATTTGGCTACTGCATCAATTAGTTGGCTCTGGAGCCCTCCTTCCTGAGCTAAGGATAAAAGACTGTGAGCTGGCTCACACTAACTCAGCTTAGAGGGAACACTGATACCAACACTGTTTCCCCATCTTGCCCAGGGCAAAAACGTGATTTCTCCAAATAGTTACTGCTTTCACTGTAATTTTTTTTTTACTTTCCCCTTTTGGATTTGCAGCTAAACTCCACAGTTACACAGAGAAACAGAAACAGACATAAAGCAAAGCAAGTGCGGGTAGGAAAAAACAACAACCAGGGCCAGCCGGGGGACGGGGGTGTGTGCAAAATCCCTTGGGCCCGGGCCACTCGGGGGGGGGGGGGCCAAGCAATCCATCTTTCTCATTTGGCTTGGGCGCAAGGGCAGAGGTACCAGGCTTGTGGCCATTTTCAAAGTCTCCAGCCTCTTTTATTCACAGCCTCCCTGCCAACCGCCTCTACTCTTCCCCACCGCCAGCGGGCAGGGAGCTTGAAGGCAGCAGCTTGCACAGATCGGCTCCCCGCTTGGCTCTGCTCCCCGGGACCTTCACAGAGGAAGAGACAAAGTAGCCCCCTGACCTGGACGGTCCTGTCCAAGAAGGAGTTGCCAGCTTGCCTACACCAGAAATTATTATTTTTTTAAACTGCCTCCTTCCCCCTCTGCTAGTTTCATAGGGATGAGCCAGCCTCAAAGATGCACAGGAAACAGCAGTGGGGGCAGAGTCTCTTGCCTTCTACACAACTGCTCCATCTTAAGGGTGGGGGGGCGGAGAAGGGCTGGATCCCCCAAGGGTTGGATGGACACACAGGAGGAGGTCACGGGGGGAGGAAGCCAGTGGAATACAGAAGAGACACACAGAGATGGGCTTCAGCCTCACAGAAGACAATTATATTCTCCGCTGCAACTATATTCTCCGATACTACTCCGAGGCTCTTCACCACTACATCGCACTGGCCCTTTCTGAGAAATAACACTCTACTGGAAGTGTCCTAAAAGGCAGGTAAGCGGCTACTCCCGTCTCGGCAAACTGACCAGTATCCCATCTCTCGCTCCTAATATTACCGCTGTAATATTCGTGAGTATAAGCGAATTAGGTGCTGCATTGAAAACTATGCTCTTTTCCCAGAGGGTTTTATGATAAATCAACATGAAGAGGCCACAGGAGAAGGGGAGTGGTGGCACAGTGGGTATATCCCACTGTCTTAACATCTGAACTGTGTTAGTTCGAGCCCCGCGCTGGTGTGAGCAGCCAGCCTGTTGTCCCCAGCTCATCGTCCACCCAGCGATTCGAAAGCTTCAGCGAGTAGATAAAATGGGAACCACTCCTTAGAGAGGGTGGGCACACCAATCTCCCTCGTGGGAGGGTGTTAGCTGACGGTCGGACGTCCTGGTCGAGGTTCGGAAAGGTGAAATAACTTCTCGGCTACGAAAGAATCCCAGCAGTGGATGTTCCGGCCAGGCTGTGGCAGTGTGGCAATTGACATACGGGTCCTGAAGCCTGGTCAGCAAGCAGCCGTGCGGAGAACGACGGAGCCAAGACAGAAGAC